CGAATTCCAAATAATGTGTGTACTGCTGTGTTTAGCCAATGAACTGGGCCTGCACTACAGTATGGGGTTGCCGTATCTCTCGTGCAGAGGGAACTTGCTGGCATTTTGGATCTGGACTGCTGTACGGGTTGGACCAGTCTGATATGTTTCAGATATGTTCTCTCTGTAATGGCATAAGTTGAGCTAAAACCATCTTGAGACCTGAGCGAGGACCCACCGAAGGGCAGGCTATTTCAGCTGTTGTCCGTTCTCACCTCTCTTGCTACTTGTTTTCCTCTGCACCACAGTATTTGGCTCAGGAGAGATACAGATGTTCCTGTGCAGGAGCTTTCGACTCCGAAGGCTGTAAGGGAGGCAGGGAGTCGCCTGTGGCAAATCCCAGGTAAAAAGTTAAACCTTTCTAAGACATCTTACAAAGTGCAAAGGGAACTCCTGACACCATAATCACTACATTGTGACACTGATATAAACACTGGGATCTGCAGGACCCTCTATTTACACAGTTACTAGCCACTGGAGACTGCAAGGAAATAGGGGATGAAGGGCCCCAGCATAAACTTTATATGAGTCTCGCATTTGAGTCTCACAGGGTGATAGAGAAGACATTCTCTCAGTTCACTCATGGTTACAAAAGAGCGTAAGGACCATAGTTTTTATTTTAGAAAATTAGGGTTTACAGGAAACAGCACATCTTACTGCTCTCACGGTTGTGCTGAAAGGGAGAGTTTTAATTCTGCCTTTAAAAGGACACTCCAAATCCTTAATCTCCGAAAATGCTTCTGTTAAGAGAGTATCATGCAAAATGTCATCCTCACGAGGCATCTAAAACTTACAGCTTTTGATTTCCAAGAAACCCAAGTTAGAAAACTATGATGACAACTCTTTGCCATCTCATGGTACCTGCAGATCTACAATCCGCACAGTCTAGGCATTTGTTGCACATGAGAGACATGTTGACGTGTTTTCCTTGTATTTCCTCGTTTATCCTTGTATGTACGTAGTGGGCATTGGATAGCATTCCTTTCATCCCCCATAAAACCATAACTTACCCCTTCAAATAACGACAGACAACTTCTTGGAGAAAACAGGCCACAGCATTTATTAACACAACCAAATACTGTATGACTCCTTTAACATATAACGAAATAATAAATATCATAAATTAACATAAACAATTTGCATATAGTCATACAGTAACCAAAGAAACCGTCCTTGCCAATCTAACTTCCCCAAGGCTCTCACCTCCCCCCCTCGGCATAATAAAAACATCTTCCTTTTCAGGGCTCCCCACCAACTCGGTGGGGCCCAACCATAATGCTCCCCACTGGTCGACTTACAACCCAGTGGGGACACGTCCAACCTGGTACCTCCTCCAGGTTCACCATAAGAGACAGGTGGAGGATGAGACCCGGCCATTATCCCCCTTTTTCATCTACTCTACCAAACCATCCCTTATTTGGCAAGGACACACCCCCGCCTCTCTGTGACAACCCCCCAGGCCAAAAGCAGCAAAGGGAGGGTGGGTGGGAAACTTGTTGCTGGCGCGGCTCCTAAGTGGCACTGAGGTCAGTCTGATCTGTCACCACCCACTTCCTCACATCTCACACTCCCACATGTAGCATATAGCCAATCATGCACCATCCATCCCACACTCATACATGTGCCCCTGTCCGTTAACCTGCGCACTCTCCCTGGGGCCTTGCTATGTGTGAACAACTAGCTGTACACCCGATGTGGTGGGAAGCAATGCTTTTCCAAACACAGATCACACACAATCTGAACACTGTAACTGGTTCAGTGAATGCTGTCCCTTGCTTGTACATACGACTCTCCGTTACCTGCCCAGTCTTTGACCGTACATAGACTATAATGCATACATTATAATTTATATGTTAATATCAATTTTAAAATGGTGATAGTTGTCCTATAAGCCAATAAGGTTTCATTCTTGTTTTAGGAATGTGGAAGAGAACCTTGTAAAAACTGGCAGCGAATGGGCTTTTAAAAAAAAAGGAAATATTTTCTGAAAAAATATAAAAGTAAAAATCTGTTATCTGTATAGTTTTAAAATGTATCTAACAGGAAAAAAAAGATTGTCAGCCCAGCGTATATCTCTAAGGTTGCAGCAACAATGATGAAAAGTTCACTAGAATTCATTACATTTTACGAATCCATCTACCTTGAAAGTAATCCTTCAAACCTACCCTCTAAACGTCAATAAACCCCAAGTCTATCCCCTAAACCTCTATAATCCCCGATTATATCACCTAAACTTCAATAACCGCCCCCCCAAGTCTATCCCCTAAATTTCTATAATCCCCGATTAGATCACTTAAACTTCAATAACCCACCCAAGTCTATCCCCTAAACCTCTATAACCACCCCAAGTCTATCCCCTAAACTTCAATAATGCCCTAGCATATCACTTAAACTTTAATATACCCCGAGTATATCCCCTAAGCTTCAATAACACCTAAGTCTATCTCCTCAACGTTAATAACCCCAAGTTTATCCCTAAAGTTTAATGAACCCCCATGTCTGACCCCTAAGGCTCAATAATCCTGGATCTATCCCCCTGGCATTTAACAAGGCTATTCCTCTTGATATACCTACTAAAACCATCAAGTTATATAAAGCTCACTGGTTTGCCGGAACTTAAAATTGTAAAAAAAGAACTCTATTTAAATAGGGGATTGCAAAAAAATATTCAACCAATAAGGGAGGACCATGTGGGAAGTCCCCCTTTTATCTGGAGAATATATTTTTAGAAACAGATGTGGGTATTGTAGCAGATGCTATCAGCATGCCAAATCTCGGTATCTATATCTGCTGCTGATGTAACGACACAGATTGTGGACATATTCATTGTATGGAATTCAAAGCATTAAGAATGAACAGTTCTGTGGAGTTCTAAGTTCTCTATTGCTGTGTTGGTTTATCTGTTAACTGACTTTGCGTGGGCAATGTTCTAACCCACTGTTTTCCTTTCTTTTATGTCTTTTTGTGTGATTTGTGCTTTTGTTTCAGGCCATTGTACCTTTTATATCCATTAAAACCACTAAATAAAGATTTCTTTTTTTTAAATACGACTTAACAGTTCCAGAAAACATTTTATATCGCTGTCGATTTTACCCTGATTAATGTTTAAATCTTAAGGAGACCAAGAGATGGTCTTCTGAGGTTCAATAGGGTGAAAGATTGTCACTTCGACTGCTATAGTGGTGTGAGCACAGACTAAGGTATTAGGACTCTTCTTTGTTAATATCCAGGCTGCAGTGATGGTTTCCTTCTATGTTACTTTGTGAACAGAGAGATTGTGCTTCTCTACGTGCTAATACAATGGGGTTCTGGATTGAGATGTTGGCAGGGCCGGATTAAGAGCCCAGTGGGCCTGGTGCTGACAATTATGATGGGCCTAATTACGGAATCTTATCGACCAAAAACACTAAAACAATCATACCTCCCAAGTGTCATGTATCTGATGGAGATGGTGCTGGAGGGAAACTCATAGGATGCAGCTATAAGAAAACAAATACTCTATGCTAATCTCTCTCTAATTTATGTTTTCATCTTTCAAGTCAATCCATAACCCCTAACAGCAGTGTCCAGTGAAGCAGGAAGTCAATGGGCGGGGTAAAAGGGTGTGCCACTGGCGCGAATCACGTGACCAGACCTGCCAAAAGGGGTGAACATGCCCAAAAAGGGGGCATGTCTGTCAAAAGAATGGGAAGGCCAGACTGGGATGAATGCATGTCAGGCTGCCCGCCAATCCTGCAGGCTGTCCAACCAAGGGCATACTATGCAACCAGCACCTTGATCTTGACATAAATGCGTCTAATAATGCGCTCACTCCATGCTTTCCAAGGACTGTCCCCTAGCACTCGCTGGTCCACTTGTCTCCTTACCTTCTTACTAGCAGGCAGAAGTTCCTGGTATACAGTCTGGGACAGAGAAAAGGTGTCTGTAGTGAGTGTAGAAGAAAGGGGACATGCCACAGTGTTAGAGAGACCAAAGTCTGCATTACCTAAACTAACTTTAATGTCAGCCAGTGCACACAAGTTTTGTTCCCATACATCCCTCTTAAGCTTCCAAACTTAAAGGGACACTATAGTCACCAGAACAACTACAGCTTATTGTATTTGTTCTGGTAAGTAGAATCATTACCTTCAGGCTTTTTGCAGTAAACACTCTCTTTTCAGAGTAAATAACTCCACTGGCCACTCCTTAGAGGTGCTTCCTGGGGCAGTACTGCCTAGTCTGCAGCACTGCCATTCAGTGTCTCCACCCTCTGCATGCAGACACTGAACTTTCCTAATAGAGATGCATTGATTCAATTTATCTTTATGAGGAGATGCTGATTGGCCAGGGCTATGTTGGACCTGTGCTGGCTCTACCCCTGATTTGCCTAGTTGACAGTCTCAGACAATCCTATGGGGAAGTATTGTAATTTGCTCAGACCACCACTTCTGAGCCAGCAGCTGCAGAATTGAATACAAGTAATATTTTACTATATTTAGGGAGACAAGAAGGGGCCAGGGTGGTGGTTTTAACATGATAGGGTCAGAAATACATGATTGTGTTCCTGACCCTATAGTGCTCCTTTAAGCAAGAGTATGTGAAGAGTAGTTAAGGTTGCCACCTTTCTTGGAAAAAAATACCAGCCTTAATCATTTGTATAATTAATTAGTTATGCGTGACATCACATGATGTAAATCACAAGGAGTGATCAGAGAAAATTCTGTAAAATCACCAACAAACTACTCACAGTTTGATTCTGCTGTATAGATGAATTGCTCCCAGTGTCTCCCTGTCTCCCAGTGTCTCAGTCTCGCAAGTCACCCAGTGTCTCAGTGTCCCTATGTATCACAGTGTCAGTGTCCCCATGTCGCCCAGTCCCCTAGTCTCCCAGTGTCTGTGTCCCCATTTCTCCCAGTGTCCCAATGTCTCAGTGTGTCCCCATGTTACTAGGATACTGGGGACACTGAGAGACATGGGGACACTGAGAGACATGGGGACACAGAGACCCGGGGACACAAAGACATGGGAACACTGGGAGACATGGGGATACTGAGACATTTAGGGAAACTGGGAGAAATGGGGACACAGACACTGGGAGACATGGGGACACTGAAACATATGGGGACACTAAGACACTATGGACACAGACATGGGAACACAGACACTGGGAGACTAGGGGACACTGGGAGACTAGGGGACACTGTCTGGGAGACAGACACTTGGGGACACTGGGAGACATGGGTACAGTTGTGGACATAGACATGTGGACACTGGGACATATAGGGACACTGGGAGACATGGGGACACCAGGCACACTGAGACACTAGGAACACAGACACTGGGAGACATGGAGACACTGAAACATTTGGGGACACTAAGACACTAGGGACACAGACACTGGGAGACTAGGGGACACTGGGAGACTAAGGGATACTGGGAAACTAAGGGACACTGGCTGGGAAACAATTGTGGACATAGACATGGGGACACTGGGACACATCGGGACACTAGGCCCACTGAGAGACATGAGACACAGACACTGGGAGACTTGGGGACACTGAGACACTAGGGACACTGGCTGGGGGACAGAGTGTCTCCGTGTCCCAATGTCTCAGTGCCTCCCAATGTCCCTATGTCTCACAGCGTCCCCATGTGTCTCAGCATCCCCATGTGTCCCAGTGTCCCCTAGTGTCTCAGTGTCCCCATGTTTTCCAGTGTCCCCATGTGTCTCAGTGTCCGCAGGTCTCCCAGTGTCTGTGTCCCCATGTGTCTCAGTGTCCCCATGTGTCCCCGAGGGTCTATGTCCCCTAGTGTCTCAGTGTCCCCATATGTCCCGAAATGTCTCAGTGTCCCCTAGTGTCTCAGTGTCCCCAAGTGTCTCAGTGTTCCCAGGTCTCCCAGTGTCTGTGTCCTAGTGTCTCCCCTAGTGTCTCAGTGTCCCCATATGTCTCCTAATGTCTCAGTGTCCCCATGTGTCCCCTAGTGTCTCAGTGTCCCCATGTGTCCCTGCTGCCTTTCCCCCCATCCCTCACTTACCTGAGCTGTAGAGCTGCTGTCTGGACTCTCTGTGCTGTGTAGCTGCTCCCCCACAGATCAGTGAGTAGTAGAGAGAGGCAGGGATATTCTGTAACTTCCTATCTCTGACTCTCTCCACACACAGTGTGCTGGTATTGCAGAGTAATTTCCAATTATTCTGAGAAAATTACCTGCATTTGTATTGCGGTATTACTACAATACCAGCACAGCCAGGCAGCCTCAAATACCATCTGTGCCATTAAAATACCAGTCAGGTTTTTTTAATGGGCCTTTTCCATGGGCCTGGGCCTGGAGCTCCATCAGCCCCTATGTTAATCCGGCCCTGGATGTTGGCCTCCTCCGGCTGCCTTTGAATGTTGGGAGAAATGAAGGATCTAGATTGGGGACTTTCTATATATCATTGCAGACCGATAGATTTTGACTTTTCGAAAAGCTGCTGCAATACCATTTCTACCTTTATATAGATGGTATGGTCAGCTCATGTCCGCGGAGTGTCCGTGTGGACAAACCAGTGCAGTTTTGCTGTTTAATCTAGATACAATATCTATAGAGTAGTACTAAGCTAAATTGCAGAAGCGAGAGAGGACATAATGTTTGTTTGAATAAAACAAGCTATAGATATTTAAAATACTATATCTCTTTTTATACTTCCTGAAGTGCCGTACAATACAAGCATTCATTATGAGTATTAAAGGGTAACTGACACTTCACAGGAATTTTAATATTATGTTTAATTATCCCCTATATTAAGTAAATATGTATTTGTGAGGTGTAAAAAAACCACACCTCTTTATCCTGCAACAGGGCAACCTGTCGATCATTGTTATAAGCTCTGTCCTTTACACCTGGCAGTCAGCACAGTGGGGAGATAAACGGTCCAACAGCTTCCTCGTCACTTTCCTGGGGGATTTGTGGTAACATTTTTGCCTCTTCTGACACTTTTTATTTGTAATTGTCAGATCAAAAAGTGACACTTGCCATGTAATAAAAAATCGAGGGCACGTAGCTGTCAGATTTTATTAATGACACGGAGGCGAGTATTATGCTATCTCTTTCTTACTTTATTCCTCAGCAGCAAAGAGAAATATAAAACTGAAAGAGAAAAAATGTAAATATGTAATGTAATGAAATATAATAACAGGTACAACCAGATCTGCCTAGTAACAGGACAGCCAATCAGCTTAGTAGGAACAGTCCATAAACGTCTTGCTTAATACTTCCACTTTCTCCTCTTTCTTTGCTGCTGTCCTCAGACCAGCTAAGTATAATTTTACCTCCTGTATATTGATCTGTATTTTGATTGTCAGGGTGATTTTTTGCCCTGATTATTTATATTGCTTATTGTGGCTTAGGCTCTTGTGATTGTATTGTGTTTTATTGTATTATTATTTGTTTTCTCTCCCCTTTGCCTGGTCTCCCTGCTTGTGCTGTATTTCTGTCCGCACAGGCTGGGATCCGCGGCTCTCAGGGGAAGTGTGTTTGCACTTGGAGCTTCTGGCTCCCTGTTCCCTCCTCTACCCTCGCGGCCGCATTATTTGCCGGCCCGATCTGTCTCCTCGCACCCGCTGGTGCGAGGGAGTTCCCGGCCGCGTGTGTACCACGCGCTCCCCGGCCATTGGCGGGGGAGGAGCTCCGGGTACCTGCGGCGCGCTCTGCTCACGGCGGCCATCTTGGATTATCGGCACGCACGTGGCTGGGTCTGCTCGGCGGGTCGGCTCCCTCCTTACCTCCCCTTTCGTTTCCCTTTACTGTGCAGGTATTTGTTGTGGGTTACTCAACCCCTGCTAGGTTGTTTGTGTTAGGATTATTTCGTTCTATCATTTACTGCATTACTGTTCCCTGTTAGGATTTTTAAAGTACATTTATTTCTGTTTTGGGTTCACCCTTCCTGCTCTATCATGCAGGCCAGAGGTGAGGAGTCTGACAGCCCCAGCTACCCCATTATGGACCCCATGCAAACCCCTGTCTCTGGGGAAAGTGGCCTTACTCCCTCCCAGGAGTTCCAGGCCCTCATTGACTCCACCATGCAGAGGGCCTTGGCTTCGGCCATGGGATCAGTATCCTCATCCCTGTCTCACACCATTCAGCAAGCGTTGTCCCAACCCCTGCCTCCCTCTGTGGTACCCAATCCTCAGCCTGTGCTGCAGCCTCAGTCGGGCCGCAAAGCGCAGGCTAAACGGAAACACGTCTCCCATGATATGATGCAGGTGAAACCTGCCCTGACTGACGTGCCTATGGCCGTCCAAGATGGCGCGCTACCACGCAAGAGAGCCGCTGGCCGGGCAAAATCGGCCAGAAAATGGAAAAGGGCGCGGGCCCATGTTGATGATGGATCTGACTCAGATCAGAGTGAGGAGTCGTGCTCGGATGCCCATGAGTACACCTCTTACAAGGAAGGGGGCTCCGATGCTGAGGCGGGGTCTGTCGCTTCGGTGCTACCTCCGGGCGAGGGGCAAGACATGTGCGATCCGCAGGGTTACCCCCTGTTCGATCCTGATGATCTTCGCCATCCCCGCTCGGCGGAATGGGACCCACCCAAGCATATAGCTAACTACCTAGCCCTCCGCATGCGTACTCCTCTGTCCAAGGAGGGGCGCAGCAAAGTACGGGCTGAATGCCCACGGCCCTCAGTGCCTGATGCGGCGTGCAAGACGCCAGAGGTAGACCCTCAGATTACCCAGTTCCTGGCAAAAATGGGCTGGAAACCCAAGAAGGGGCTGGAGTTCTCACTCCATAATTGCCAGGACAAAATATTAGACACCCTGGGGCCCGCTGCCAAGCTATATGAGCTACTAGAGGCAGCTAAGGCGGGGGACAACCCCCTGGATTTTGATGAGGCCAAAGACTGATTTGCCTTCTCGGCAACGCTAACACGGCCATGTCGGCCGAACGCCGCAAGGCGATCTTGCTCAAGATTGAGCCAAAACTAGTAAATCTAGCTGTGAAAGAACCGGGTGCTGCCGCCAAGGGTATGCTCTTTGGTGAGTCCTTTGTTAAGGACCTGGGCTCCTTTGTGCGCACCTTCACCGCCCTGGACAAAGCCCAGTCTAACTTAAAACAGGTCTTTAACCCAAGGGTTTTCCATGGGGCCGGGAAGTACAGGAGCCGCCCGCCCGGCCGTGGAGCTCGAGGTCCCTCACGGACTAACAGAAGTTCCTTTACTGCCCCTCGGGCCTACCAAGATTACAAACCGGCTCCTTTCTTTCCCTCACGGGGGAGACCATGGCAGAATCGAGGAGGACGTGATCAACCCTCATACAGACGCCCTTACGGTAAGTACCCCCATATGTGCGCTTTCACATTCAAACGTGGGTGGCAGACTGGCACTGTATTTTGATATGTGGGGAATGATCACCACAGATATGTGGGTTTTGAATACGGTCAGGGGTTTCCGCCTAGATCTGTTATCTCCCCCGGTCCAGGTTTTGACACCACAGGAACTGAGATTGCCGGCAGAGCAGGCCGAGCTCATTACCAAGGAGATCTCGGAACTTCGGGTCAAACGGGCAATACAGGAAGTCCCATACGACCACCCGGGGTTCCTAAGCAACCTGTTCCTTGTTGCCAAGAAGGGCGGAGGTGTTCGACCGGTTATAAATCTCAAACAGCTCAACGAATTCCTCCGCTACCATAACTTCAAGATGGAAGGCATTCATTGCCTCAGGGACCTGCTTCGGCAAGGAGACTGGATGGTCAAACTGGACCTCAAAGATGCCTATTTGACTATTCCAATGGCAGAAGAATACTGGGACTTATTGCACTTTACGTGGCAAGGACGTCAATGGAGGTTTACCTGTCTGCCCTTCGGTCTCTCTTCAGCACCTTGGTGCTTCACAAAGGTGATGAAACCGGTAGTGGCGTTCCTCAGGTCTCGGGGAGTACGCATGATTATTTACCTGGACGACATACTGATTATGTCCGCGTTCCCCGAACAACTTCTACAGCATTTGGGCTGGACGGTGGATCTTCTGGAAAACGTAGGTTTCCTCATAAATTGGGAAAAATCCATGGTGACCCTGACGCAGAAAATAGAATTTCTGGGTTTCGAAGTTGATTCGGTCGCCCAGTTCTTGTTCCTTCCAGAGGCCAAGCTAAAGGCTATGAAGAAGGAAATAAGACGTACGCTATGGACCACTTCTCTCTCCGTACGACAACTGGC